TTTTATCTACTTTTCTCTCTACTAGTATACTCCTCTTAAAACACTAGACGAATTGATCTAGCTACTCGACTCGATTTACAAGTTTTGGTTCAAAGGAAACAAGATCCTAGTTTGAGAAATTTTAGTTTATTTTCTATTATTAACAATGGACATATCCCTATTTAACGATAATTTTAACACGTGCTTTATTCTTAAACTTAACTGACTCATTTTAGTCTTGTTATACGTATAGGCGATGAATAAATTGTAGTGTAAAACTTTAGACGAGTACTTTGAAATTCAGAGTTTGAAGTTAATAGGCACTTGGATTCAATAGTTGCTACAGAGTACACGATTTGAAGAGTATGAAATGCAAAGGACGAGCGAATTAGATGATGATATTGAGATTCCACCTCACTTGGAACAAATATATCGAATTTGAAATATTTATTGAAGATTAGTGCACCAACTTTATGGTGTTGAATGTTAGGGCATTAAGAGTCCGTTTGATTGCAAAGATGGAATTGAATTGCCTAGAAAATGAATTTCAGGGAATTGAATTGCCTAAAATTGTTTTTCTGGGAATTGTAAATTATTGTGTTTGATTGGTATAATTTTCCACGTGGAAAATGTTGAAATAAAAGTATTTTTTAATGGTCGTTTGGCTTTGTTTTACATGAAAATTATCAATTAAAGGGAAATATTTTTTTACAATAATTCTTAGAATTGGTTTCCATTACCAACAAAAAAAAAGAGAAAAAAAAATAATAATCGCTACAGTAGGGTGGAATTTGAATTCAAATTCCACTAAAACAAGGAAAATTCCAAGTTCCAAGAAATCCAAGAAATGCAATTCCATGGAAAATATAAGCTATCAAACACCAAAAGTTGGAATTTCCAATTCCAATTCCATCTTTTTTTCCATTTCCATGCTATCAAACACTCCCTAAAAGGAAAATGATGATATAAAAATGAATATTATGATAATTAGTAGAGATTGTGACCGAGGTATAATGAGGTCCTTATTTATTGTTCAATACATTAAAATGAATCACATCATCATTGTATAGGGATGGCAGTGGGGCGGGTTCGGGATGGGGCATCCCC